TTATCTCAACCCAGAATGTATTTTTACATTGAGCAAAGAGAAATCTTATTTTCTTAATGAGCAATGAGTTTCCGAGATATTTCAGAGTAGTTACCTCTTTTAAGAGGATAATTTGAGCAATTATATACCTCAAACCAGAGAAAGAGTATGTTTTTATACATTGGAGAAAAAGTATATATTATTGGGAGTAGTATTGAACATTGATATGTGGGAGAGTTCAGACAACTCACAGCCCCCATAAACTATGTCTTGCCAACATGAGTACATGATCATATTTTTTAGATAAATCCTTAGTGTCTTCGGGTAGAGCTTAGTGGATCCACTTAGTTAAGAAGTTTTATATACCGGCACGATATAGGACAGATCTGACAGAGTGGATAATACATTGTATCATCACGTAGCTCATAGTGATGGTTGTCACTTAGAGAATCCCACAATAGAGTTAAATGTATTTTAATATATCACTTATTATGTTGAGTTCAGAGATGAGTAAGTATTTTGTAAATTTTTAATGATTTCACTCATTTATTTCTTTACATTCAGTTGAGTATATATTTATATCTATTGCAATCCTTTCATTCAGTTATTTGTTATTCACTTGTATTACGTACTCGTACGTTCAAATGTACTGATGTCATTCAACCTACATCTTTCATGATGCAGATACATGTGTTCAAAATTACCAACAGACGCTTCGTTGAGATCACTCTACACTCCAACTAGCTTTTGGTAAACCTCTTTTTATTCCAGAGGACTTCACGTTTACTTTCTAGTTAGTAGTTTTGAGATGTCGTGAAGCTAGTTCCGATATCCTTCTTTAATAGTAGAGGCCTCATAGATAGACATAGTCGATGTGTCTCTAAGTATTTACTTTCTTTTGACTTTTTTTACAAACTATAATTATTGCTATTGAGTAATTGCCAGACTTTATGAGTTGAGCATTTGAGTTTAATGGATTTAATTCTATTTTAAGCCTCTTAGTGCTTGAGTTAGTTTTTTGCTTGAAGTCAGCCAGGATGTGCATTCGCTTGGGGACCCGCAATGATTCTTGAGTGCCGACCATGTCCAGGGTGTAGGCTCAGATTGTGACAATAGATCTCATTGATGAATCCCTACATACCTTGATGATCTAAGCCCAAAAGTAATGAAGGTAAAATTAGACTTGAAGCTTGAACCCTAGATTTCTCCCTTGAAGCTTGAAAGGATTTGAAAGGGATTAATTTGGATGAGATTTGGGGATTTGAGAGAGTTGAGTTAGTTTTAGGAATAAAAAAGTAGTTATATGACTTATAAAAAGGGTAAAACGATGTATTATAGGTATTAGATGCATAGGAAAACACCTAAATACCCTTAAAAAAACTGTCGGATGGTTCCTACGGTTATGACCCAAAAAATTTAATCATTTTCCACAAGACCTTTCTACGGTTTGTTAAATTTTCTATGGTATGTACACCTCATTCGTAGAACCCAACTTTTGGTTCAAAATTTAACTAAGTCTGGAACCTTTCTACGAAATTCATCTACGACTCTTCAAACCTCCTATGACCTATCCTATTCATTCGTAGGTTAAACTTCAGAAACTTAATTTTTCAAAACTCAACTCTAGGTCCTACGATTCCATTCCTACAACTCGTTGGAAATCCTACTAGTCGTAGTTCTATCTCGTAGGCCAGTGCTTTAGAGATGTAACATCCCGCCTTAGAAAGAGCTACATTTAGAAAGTGTTAAATTGGAAATAGCTAAATTGAAAGTTTTGCAAAGTTATGTTAAGTTATGAGTTTTGGGTCATCTTCAACGACCATAACTTTCAGCACATGATGATTTATGTGGCCCATAAGATATCAAATGAAAGGTCTTGGGATCCTCTTTTCAATGCCATTGATTTTGCTAAGTTTCGAGTTCAGATGATGGAGATATATCCTTTTTAAGTCCAGCTGTCCAGTTAAGGAAAATTACCCGAAATTATAAGTGGTATTTTGGTCTTTTCCCTACCCCTTCAGATTTAATCATTTTTAGTAAGGTTTTAGGGGTCTAAACTTATTTGGTTCAGTTTTCACAATCCTAAATATGCTTAGGGTTTTACAAGAAAGTTCAAAAAGAGAAAAGAGGAGAAGTGTTCATCAAGTTTTCTTGCGAATCAAGTATTGTTTCGCCAAGGGTTTGATCCCTAAGAGGTATGTGAGTTCTCATAGTGTTGAATTCGTTCACCCACACATCAGTCATGCTACTTTAATGCAAATTTCATTCTTAAAGTTGAAGGATTCGTGTTCTTGATGAGTTTCTTGATATTTCCTTCTTAAATTTTGATTGTTGGGGTACTTGACGAATTCTTGAGATAAATGTTAGTAATTTGAGGGTTGTTTTGAGTTGATTATAATGTACTTATGTTGGGTATTCGAATCTAAGTGAGTTGGGAAGAAACCATTCGATTCTACGCAAATTAGGGTCAGAAAACGAGAAAGAAAATTCATTGGATCTTTCTGCGCAGGGGCTGGCGCACCGCGCCAAAAAAGAAGTTCTTTAGTTTGGGGCTTGGCACCCCGCACCACTCAGTGCGCCCCAACTACCTTTCAGTAGTTTAAGGGTTGGCGCCCCGTGCCACTCAGTGTGCCAGGGTCGCCTATCCCCACCCCTTTTGACGTCGTTTGGCTCGTCTAAGTTCTTTTAAAGGATACCTTCACTTCTTTCTATTTCTAATCAGTCTACACTACATCTAAACATTGAGAGATATTCATAGCATGAATCATAACATCGAATTCATAATTCAAATTCAAGGTACAGTTAAGAGTCAAGTCTTGAGAGTTCCTTCGAGTCATTTTGAAAAGTCTTTTAAAATTTGTTTTAAGACTTGAGTACTTGAGTATGAGAATGAGTAAAGTTGAGTTTCATTTTTCAAATGATATATGGGAACTAAGTATTCCCAAGAGTAAATATTTTTTTTACATTTGAGATGAGAGGAAACACCGATTTCCAAAAGAGTTCATGAGAAGTTTTGAGTACTATCTCTTTTTAGAGAAATCTTTTGAGTAATAATCTCAAAGTTGAGGAAGAGGAAATGTTTTTTAGAAAAAAACATATGAGTTAAGTTATATTTTGGGAGTAGTCTTGAGCATCGATATGGGGGAGAGTTCAAACAACTCATAGCCCCCATAAACCATATGGCCAACGTGGGTAGAAAGGGCCATACTTCTTAGATGATTTCTTATTTTTTTTAAGCATAGCTTAGTTGATCCACTTAGTGAGTAGTCCTATATCCCGGCAAAGTATAGGATAGTTCTGGCAGCGTGGGTGACACGTTGTATCATCACATAGCTCATAGTGATGGTTGTCGGTTTGAAAATCTCCCACAGAGTTATTTTGTATTTTTACATACAAACTAAGTTATATTGTATTTTCTAATACATTGAGTTGTTATCTACTGTTTTAAAAGCTTTTCTTTATATCGCATTATTGTTATTGCTTTTATATTGAAATTAGTTGAGGTTGAGTTGAGTTGAGACGAGGTAAGTTGTTTCCTCAGTTCCAATTCAAGCTTATGTCTTGTTTTGGATTTCCCCTTGCATGCTCGTACATTTGATGTGTTGATGCCATTTGGCCTGCATCTTTCATGATGCAGATACAGGTAACTAGGATCATCAACCAGCGCTTCGTTGATCCAGTCAAGTTCCAGATTTTTTTGGTGAGCCTCCTTGCTTTCGGAGGATCCCATCTTTATATTCCAGCATTTCAATTTGTTAGGATGATCGAGGGGTCTCATCCCGACATCCCTCATAGTATTAGAGGCTTCAAAGATAGATAGACAGTACTTCATGAGTCTTGTTCATTTCAGTTGTTATGTTCTAGACTTGAGTTGCCTCTTTGGCTAGTGAATGTTTTACTTCTAAAATATTTGGAGTTTACTTTGAGACACTTGAGTAAAGTTTAATTTTTGAGTTTATTCTATGTTGAGTAAGTCTTCCGCTGAGAGTTGAGCCAGGTCAATTGTTCGCTTGGGGCCGGGGCCAGTAATGTTTCTCGAGTGTCAGTCGCGTCCAGGATGTGGCAGTGTGGTAATTTTTTTTTATTTGCTGCAACTTTTCAATATATATAAATATAATATAGTATTCAATTTAATTCATTAAGTTGACTACTTTATTTCCTTCTATAATCTCTTATCTTTAATTCATTTTGACTCCAGATTTCTTCATCTTCACACTAATTTAATCATACAAGTAAAATACATTGTTAAATACAATCTATAAAATCCATGCCCAAAAAGGTCAAATAAAATATTAAATGTAAGGCAAATAATGATTAAAAATATATATTTTTTGCCTCACATTAATTATAATTATATAAAATCTAATTTATTGTATGACTGACTGTCCAAGTAAAAAAAAACAATTTTCAGCCTCTATATAAGGCTATCTAGTTATAACTTTACAGTCTCACATAAAATCTAAAGAATCATTCTTCTATTAGAGGTATGCATATATTAGTTCATGCACTTCACTATTTACATTCTTTGTTAATTTTCTTTTTTTTTCTTCTAATTTTGTTTCTTTTGGGTTTTTTCTTCACTATTCCTTAGGTAATTCAACAAAATTTATGGAAGAAAAAAAGAATGAGAAACGAAAAGGATTTGATGAGCCAAATTTAGATTTATCTCTTAAAACTCCTGAATATGAATCAATTAACAATATTTCAACCATGGAAGAGGTGATGAATTCTGAACTCAAAGATGGTCAAGTAGACCCCAATGTGGACTTGAATAAGTTGAGAAGATATATACATATAAGTTTTTTTTCAATGACTCTACTTTGAAAAAATGTGAATTTTTTGATGAAAAGTCTTTTGAAAACGATTCCAACAAGTCAATTTTCAACAGATTTCAATAGGCATTAAATCTTTTATCTAGTTGTGTCATAAATTAAATTTGCCTTTATTTTAATAACATTTGTATTTATTAATATTGAATAATTTTTTATTGCTTATGGAATCATGACTTTGATAGTAGAAGGATGTCAAATCGATTGTCTGCTCAAAGGGCCAGGATGAGGAAGGTTGAATACACAACTAAGTTGGAAAAAGAGGTCAAACATCTTCAGGTAATAAAATCAAGATCAGAACTTTTTAATCGAATATTTTCTTGATTCGTTATTTGATTTTTTTTTCTTTGTTGATTTTGTTAACACTCAACGATATGTACAAATTTGTTTTTAGATAATTCTAGCATTTAAAAAATAAGAAAATAAATAAATCACAATAATAGATGAAACATATTAATTGATAGTCAAATTTATTAATATATAATTATATTTTATGAGTTATCTAAATCTAATTTTTTGAATAATTGCTTCTAGGACATTGGACATAAATCATGTACAATGATACGAGTTAATTTATTACATACACTTTCATATTGAATGTTTAATTTGAGGTCATAGTTTGAATTCACAATTCTAAGATTTTTTTTTTAAAAAAGAGTAAAACCCAAAAGAATAAATCTTAATTAAATAATGTTGTTTCAAACCTCATTTGTTAAATGAGAAATTAAGTGAATACATTTCTATTTTACAATATGTGATCATGCTTGGATAGAAATTGAATCATTGACTCAACCAAGCGTACTAGCTAATTAAAATAACATATCCAATATAAGCACACAAATAGAATCTCAAAAAAGTATACAAGATACACATGCATTAATCCTATCCTTGTAATGTAGGGATGTTGTTTCCGATACACTAGATTATGCATACCTAATTATTTTTTCTTTCTTATGTTTCACCATAAATAAATAAAATTAATGATGTTCAGACAAAAAAAATAATGATGTTTCGCTAAGTAGCATGATTCACTCGAGGTGCATACGAGTCTTTAGGGTTCTTCAATATCAATAGATTGATTGTTTCACAATAATTTATGATAATAATTTGTTTCTTATGTGTAATGGTGCAGGATACAATAGCTTTGATGCGACCAATAATGGAAAATGCAAAAGACAGTAAAAAGAAGTTGCAGCTAGAGAATAAAATATTGCAACAACAATTGGATTGCCTCAGTAACAAATCTAATTTACGTGCAGGTATTTATATATATAGTATTCTTTCTCATTAATTATATTTATGCAGAAATTATATATAGATATTATTCACGTGATAATTAAATTTTAAAAAATTATTAATGTAGTGATTAGTAATGATGAGATTATTACGTAAGCTAATAACATATGAACTTTCTCATAATGTAATGTAGAAATTACTTTGTATCGTAAATAAGATCTTGCATGCTTAAGTTGTTTTCATTTTTTTCCTTCATTGATTACGTACCAAAAATTTCTTTGTAATAGAGAGAATATTTGTTGCATGTTTAGGCAAACTCAATAGATTTGATTCAAATCTTATACATTTATTTTGTGTGTATATATCCTAGTAAGTAAAAACATAAAGTAAAAAATTCATAAGCTTAAAATCTTTACTTCAATTGCATCGATTGCAGTGCAAACTGAAGAGTTGAAAGTTGAATTGAAGAGGCTTAAGGAACTTGCAAAGACTCAGGAAGCTGAAGAGCATATGGAAACCGAGGGACAAAGTTCCCACTCTTATGATCATGATGTCTCAGAATTAGCTGCAGATATATATAGACGTGGACCAGTATCTCAACTTAGACAACATCAACTTTTCCCCATCTAAGAATGACAATATGTGAACTAGTCAACAAATATTGTGACTACTTATCTTTCTTGGATTATTCCTTTTCTTTAGGGGGTGTTGGATTTGGGGGAGGGGTGAAGGGTGTTGACGTTATGAACTTTCATTGTGCAATTTAAAAAGTGTCAAATTTTCATTATTGAAATTATCGAAAGTAATGTTATATACTTGTTTTTTTATCAATATCTTAATTTCTAATATTTGAAACTGAGTTTTAATTTAAATGAATTTTAGTATCTAGAATTTTCTATATCATCTACTTAAGTGACTTATATAATGACCCTCCAACTCATATTTGTATAAATGTCTTCTTTTCAAAGTTTATAGTGTTTTTGTAGTGACCTCAAGTTATTTATGACATGTTGGGACTGACACCTTGTTCACCTAGTTGTTCGTTTGGTGTTTCTACATGTTTCCGTGTCTTAAGGCTTTTGAATCTTGAACGGTTGACTTTGGTCAAAGGTTCAGGAAGACAACCTCAGAATGCGATTCTAATGGCTCTGTTAGCTCCAGAATGTCAATTATTTCTAGAAGGATATTATGTGCGGATCTCGAGGTTTTCAGGCCAATTTTGAGCCTCCTTATGGAATCTATCTTAAAATGGAGTTGGGGTGAGAGATGCAACTTTTTGAGGCGACCTTGGTTGGAAGTTTTTACTGCTCCATTGAGTCCAGAATGTCAAATTTTGTGCGGTAGCATATTTCATTTTCACGCACAGGGTTTCGAATGAATCTCAAGCAGCCCATCGAGGTATTTGAAAACTTGGTATTCTAGTTGATGCTCTATTGAATCCGAAATGTCGAATTTGATAGAGTAGCATATTTTTTTCTTGGTTGATTTTGTTAAAACTCAAAAAAATGCACACATATAATTTTAGATATTCTATCATTTAAAAAGTAATAAGATAAATAAATCACAATAATAGATGAATCATATTGATTGATACTCAAATTTATTAATATATAATTACATTTAATGACTTTTTTAAATCTAACTTATTGAATAATTGCCTCTTGGACTTTGATAAATCATGTACAATGGCAAGTTAATTAATTACATACGCTTTCATATTTAATGTTTAATTATTTGAGGTCATAGTTTGCATTTACAATTCAAATATTTTTTTTAAAAAAACTAAAACTCAAAAGAAAGAAACTTAATTAAAACATTGTTGTTTCAAAACTCATTTGTTAAATGAAAAATTAAACATTTCAATTTTTCAACATGTGATCATTCTTGGACATAAATTAAATTAGCGGCTCAACTAAGCATACCAATTATAATAACATATCCAAAATAATTACGCAAATAGAATCTGAAAACGGTATACAATATATGCATGTCTTAATCCTATCCTTGTAATGTAAGGATGTTCTTTTACGATACACTAGATTATGCGTACCTAATTATGTAACTATTCGTTATTTCTTATGTTTCACACACATATAAATAAAATTAACATTGTTTTAGAAAAAACAAATTAATGATGTTTAGCCAAGTGTCATGATTCACTCGAGGTGCATACAAGTCTGTTGGTCCTTCAATCTCAATAGGTTGATTGTTTCACAGTAATTTGTGATAATAATTTATTTCTTATGTGTATTGGTGCATGATAGATAGCTTAGATGGGACCAATAATGGAAAATGCAAAAAATATTAAAAAGAAGTTGCAGTTAGAGAATGAAATATTGCAAGAACAATTGTATTGCGCCACTCACAAATTTAATTTACTTGCTGGTATATATATATATATATATATATCATTTCTCATGAATTATATATAGATATTATTCACATGATAATTAAATTTTCAAAAACTATTATTTAGTGATTAATATGAAGAATTATTAGGTAAGATAATAGAATATGGATTTTCTCATAATGTAATGTAATGTAAAATTTACTTTGCATCGTAAAATAAGATGTTGTGTGCTTTAGTTGTTTTGACTTTTTTCCTTTATTGCTTACGTACCAAATTTTCTTTGTAATAGAGATAGAATGTTTGTTGTATGTATGTATATATATATATATATATATATATATTATTATTATGGACTTTGATAAATCATGTACAATGGCAAGTTAATTAATTACATACGCTTTCATATTTAATGTTTAATTATTTGAGGTCATAGTTTGCATTTACAATTCAAATATTTTTTTTAAAAAAACTAAAACTCAAAAGAAAGAAACTTAATTAAAACATTGTTGTTTCAAAACTCATTTGTTAAATGAAAAATTAAACATTTCAATTTTTCAACATGTGATCATTCTTGGACATAAATTAAATTAGCGGCTCAACTAAGCATACCAATTATAATAACATATCCAAAATAATTACGCAAATAGAATCTGAAAACGGTATACAATATATGCATGTCTTAATCCTATCCTTGTAATGTAAGGATGTTCTTTTACGATACACTAGATTATGCGTACCTAATTATGTAACTATTCGTTATTTCTTATGTTTCACACACATATAAATAAAATTAACATTGTTTTAGAAAAAACAAATTAATGATGTTTAGCCAAGTGTCATGATTCACTCGAGGTGCATACAAGTCTGTTGGTCCTTCAATCTCAATAGGTTGATTGTTTCACAGTAATTTGTGATAATAATTTATTTCTTATGTGTATTGGTGCATGATAGATAGCTTAGATGGGACCAATAATGGAAAATGCAAAAAATATTAAAAAGAAGTTGCAGTTAGAGAATGAAATATTGCAAGAACAATTGTATTGCGCCACTCACAAATTTAATTTACTTGCTGGTATATATATATATATATATATATCATTTCTCATGAATTATATATAGATATTATTCACATGATAATTAAATTTTCAAAAACTATTATTTAGTGATTAATATGAAGAATTATTAGGTAAGATAATAGAATATGGATTTTCTCATAATGTAATGTAATGTAAAATTTACTTTGCATCGTAAAATAAGATGTTGTGTGCTTTAGTTGTTTTGACTTTTTTCCTTTATTGCTTACGTACCAAATTTTCTTTGTAATAGAGATAGAATGTTTGTTGTATGTATGTATATATATATATATATATATATATATTATTATTATTAATAACCTAGTAAATTAAAAAAGATTAACAAGCTAAAGTAAAAAAATTTATAAGCATGAATGTCTCTATGGTAGTGCAAACTGAAGAGTTGAAAGTTAAGTTGAAGAGGCTTAAGGAACTTGCAAAGACTCAGGAAGTTGAAGAGCATATGGAGATTGAGGGACAAAGTTTCCACTCTTATGATCATGATTTCTCAGGATCAGCTGCAGATATAGACGTGGATCAGTATCTCACTTAGACAAGATCAAATTTTTCCCATCCAAGAATAACTACATGTGAACCAGTCGACAAATATTGTGACTACTCATCTTTCTTGGATTATTCCTTTTCTTTAGGGGGTTTTGGATTTGGGGGAGAGGTGAAGGGTGTTGAAGTTATGAATTCTCATTCTGCAATTTAAGAAGTGTCAAGTTATATACTTCTTTTTTATGAATCTTTTAATTCCTAATATATGAAAATGAGTTTTTAGTCAAATGAATTTTTAGTATCTAGATTTTATTTTTTTATCTTCTAATTAAGTTGACTTGTATAATGGCCCTCTAGGTCATTTCTGTGTAAATGCCAACTTTTCGTCGTTTAGAGTGTTTCTATAGCTATCCCAAATCATTTATGACATATTGGTACTGACAGCTCGGTCACCTAGTCATTTATTTGGTTTTTGTGCATGTTCCTGTATTTTGGAACTTCTAAAACTTGAACGGTTCACTTCGGCTAAAATTTCAAGAAGACAACCTCAATATGTGGTTTTGACTGTTCCGTTAGCTCAAAAATATTGAGTTTTGTCTAGAAGGAGATTTTGTGTGGATCCTGAGGTTTCCAGACTAATTTTGTGCACCCTTATGGAATTCGTCTTAAAATGCAGCTTGGGTGTAGGACCCAATTTTTGTTGAGACAACCTCAATTGGAAGTTTTGACTGCTCCATTGAGTTTAGATTGTCGAATTTGATGAGGAAGCATATTTCATTTGTGTGCACAGGATTCTAAATGAATTTGGAGCACTCCATTGGGATATTAGAACACGAGGTCGTTTGGTTTGAAAATGAATTATGATGGGATAAGTTATATTGGGATAAGTTATGTTGGGATTAGTTATGATGGGATAAGTTGTGCTGGAATTATTTCTTATTGATTGTTTGGTTTGTTGTATTCAAAATAATATATATTAATAAATTTTAAGAACAAGTTGTTTGTTTTACAAAATTACCCTTCACTTTATTTAATTTTTTAAATTTTCTTTGCGAGCTTTTAGTTATTTATTTTTAAAATAAAACTTTTATTTTATTTAACATAAATATTTTTGTTTATGTACTCCCATGATAAGTACCATGTGTATTTAAAAATATAACTTTTTTTTATTTAGCTTAAATATAAAACTTCCCTCTTTAGTTTGTTAAAGAGAAGAAAATTTATGAGAAATCAAAATAAAATAAACATAAGAATTAGTCAAATAAAAATTATATTTATATAGTGTAATTTTTTAATAGAAAAATATGAATGATTATCATAAAAATAAGAAGTAGTAAATATTATTATACATGATATTAAAAATAATGTAAATATAAATAAATGTGAAATGATGTATAAAAAGGATTTAAAGGGATATATTTGTCATTTACCTATTTTATCCCGGATAAATTATCCCGGGATTACTATACCACCCAATATGAGGGATAACTTATTCAGGTACTAATTCATAATCCTAGGATAAGTTATCCTAAGCTTTCCAACCAAACAAGGAAATAAAGGGCACATAAAATTTATTCCGAGATTAACTTCCCTTATCCATTACACCAAACGACCCCTTGGTGTTCTAGCTGATGCACCAGTTGTTGGTGCAGGTCTCCTCCTACAGCATGATTGTGTCGGAGACTCTGTGATCACAGAAACTCACT